GGTTTTGTATTTCAGTTTTGTTATGTAGCATTAAGATGTAATTGTTTCTAAATAAAGTTTTACTTGATATGGGCTACATTTCCAACCTATAAAAGTTATTTATATAACTTATTTTCTGTTCATCAAATATGGACTTTAAAGAAAGATTTTGCTCCATTAAATGTTTGAAGATTTTTGTCCTGTCTGTTGTAAGTGAATATAGCAGAATCAAATCTAAACTGCTCTTAACTATCTAAATCAGTGACACCTTGTGGGTTTTCTGTTGTTGTTGTTTGTTTTGTTTTTAAAGAAACATCTCTTTCAGAAAGAAAAAAGAGTGTTCCCAGTGGTGGTGGCAGATTTCTGTAGCAATGATCTCCTTAGGTAGCACTAGTGATCCATGGGCTTCTTTTATAGAATGTTTTTCTCCCCAGATGATTCAAAGTTTAGAAGACCTGCATTTTCTACAATTAATGCAATGAGCTCTTTAAATGAGTCTTTTTTTCTTTAACCTAAAAATATGTTTTTCTCTTTAGACCTAAACTTCTATTTATGCACTTATCATGTAATAATCTAGATCCCAAATATCTAACTTAATTCTTATTTTTTAACCTCTATTTTTTAAATATTTGAGATGGTCTCAGGAGAAAGCAGAAAGTCTTTGGCTTTGTATTCCTAAGTATGTCTAAAAATCCTCCTAGACTAATTTCCCCCCGTGTGCACTTGAATAATGGTGCTATTGAATGAGTCCTATTTGTTAATCACAGGGCTGAGCATCTCATATGTACTAATTTAATCCTCAATACTGTGCTATATATGTTAGACTATTTCAAAATTCATTTTTAAAATGAGAAAAAACATGTATGGTCATCCTTGATAAAATATGAAGACAGAAGATAAGTTATAGCTGAACTCAAAAACAATTTATTATCTCTGTGGCCAAGGAATGGAATTGAAATTCAAGAGATGAATTATAGGCTAGGCTGAGGCCTCTGGCCTTCTGGGCTTTGGAGAAGGACAGAACAGGCCAGGACAGCTTCTTCCAGGTAATGGGAGATTGGTGTTACCTTACACCGTGTGGAAGTCCATAGCTAGCCTTGCTATGTGAAGCCAGGGCATATAGTACTTGTCTGGGTCTGAGTGAAGGATGAAGTCTGCTGCCTCCTACTGATTGAGACTGCCATTACTATGATGCTCAGAGTTTAAGATGGCAGGAGGAGGCCAAAAGGGCACTAACTAGGAACTGAACCAGACACTCACTAGTTAGTGATGCGACTGTTAATAATGTGGATGTCAACACAATGTAATGCTCAAACCCCTGAGGCAAAGAGGTTACAGATGTGTGGTTCTGGTCACAAAATGGGTACCAAAACCGTTTTCAAGAGAAGGATGGCACTAGAGCCAATAATAGAACTGTATAAAAAAAATTTAAATAAAAATAAATGAAAGAAATTCTCATTTCAAGGGAACTTACAAACGGTAATTCCAAAGCACATGGAGAAACCTGACWCTAAGAAAGACAGCCAAAAAACCTGACCATTTATAATAGAATCCTAGAAGAACTTGATAAATTGAAACAGCCTGGCAGAGTATATTATGGATACTTACAATGTAAACAAGGCAATGTCATCCATAAAGAAAGGCTGGAAGTCTTGATACAAACAAAAATCAGTTATCTAATTATCGTATACTTAGAAGTATTTCTTTTTTTTTTTTTATTGGTTGCTCAAAACATTACAATGATCTTGACATATCATCTTTCATACATTTGATTCAAGTGGGGTATGAATTCTTATTTTTACCACGTGTATTTCTTGAGATCATACACTCAATTACAGGTGCTAGAGATACAGCAATAAACAAAACTAAATAAATTCAATATCCATGTATGGGTTTTATAGTCTAGTAGGAAGTTTAACTTATAATAGCAGAAATAAAATAAGAACAGGTGGAAATCTTAGAAATGAAAAAAAAAATCATTGGAATACAGTTTCTGATAAAAAGGATAAACTGCTTGACATAGAGGTAGAGTTACTGATCTCCCATTATCCTGAAGAAGCTGTCCTGGCCTTCTCTGTCCTTCTCCAGAGCCCAGAAGGCCAGAGGCCTCAGCCCAGCTTATAACTCATCTCTTGCCTTTCAATTCTATTCTTGGGCCACAGAGATAAGATAGATTCCAGAAGTTACTACAGAAAGATATTACAGAGGAAATCACCTAGACTGCCATAATGGGAAAATAAGATATTAAAAGAGAGAAAGCGTGTGCATCTTGAAAGAGAAACAGGGAGAGTGAGAATGTGTGGACATATGTCAAATGAAAGTTCCAGAAGAAGAAAACAGAAGCAATGGTGCAAAGATGAAACTGTGAGAGAAAACTGCTATTGTTTTAGAATTGAAGATGAGACCCCTCAAGGAAGTCAGAAATCTCAGAATGTCAGAAAGGACATTATGAGAACCTATTTGGATMAAGTAAAGTAAATCTATATTTGACACTTTTTGGTTTAACTTTAGAGGATAAAAAGAAAACCTTACTAGAGAAAAAATAAACCACTTTTAAAGAGCATTAGAATGAAAACAAATGCCAAGAGCAATATTGAGGGGGGAAATTTACAATGAATTTGGATTCTAAAATTTTCTGCCACAACATACCACAAGCAAACAATGACTGAAAATATGAATTAAATAATCAACTTAAAAATATTCTTGGGGAAGAAAGCCTACAAAGAATGTATATGATTAAAAATCAAAAAACAGGAAAGAGGAGCAGAAAGTTTTTTAAAAAGTCATTAAATTTAATTCTTTATTTAAAAAGTAAAAACTAGAATCTATGTAAAAAGGTACAGACCAGTTGTGGCAGCTCACACCTGTAATCCCACTGGCTTAGGAGGCTGAGGCAACAGGATCACGAGTTCAAAGCCAGCCTCAGCAATTTAGCAAGGCCCTAAGCAACTCAGTGAGACCCTGTCTCTAAATAAAATACAAAAGAGGGCTGGGGATGTAGCTCAGTGGTTAAGTGTCCCTGGATTCACTCATCTCAAGTACCAGAGGAAAAAAATATGATGTAATACTACACACAAGTAGGAAATATGAGCAGGTAAATAGAGGAAACATAAATGGCTGACAATTATATACAAATTGGAAACAAAAAAAAACAACTTGTAATGAGGCTCCTTCCTTCCATTACACCTTTCATTCATTGTCTCCTAACTCCCTTAGATTGAGACCCAAACTCCTTAGCAGGGTCTACTGTCTGTAGCTCCTGAGTCACTAGCCACTCACTAGTGTTTTTATCCCTCACACACAACCCAAACTTTGCTTCCTTTTTTGATAACTGGTTTCTTCTGATTGTTGCTTTCCTGAAACTGGGGAAAATCTTGAAAATTTTCAAATGACTCCTCAAACTTCTTGATTGCACTCTTGATATAGTGACTGTAATAGGGACTTAATTTTCCTGGCACTCATGGTGTTTTATGGCTCATGTCATCCTAGCCATCTTTGGAGCCAGACACTGCCTGGCTTTCCTGTAGTTCCCAGGATCCTCACAGTGGATGTGCTTAGGGGCAAGGGGTGGCTGTGGGATTCGGGTTTAGGACGCTACCTGTATCTTGAAATAAATCTCTTAGGAGTTCAGAGTGAATTCTAATGAGGAACARCTGACTTTGGATGCTGAATTGGTACAAATTCTTTTGAAGAAGAGTTGAATCTGTATTTTAGAGAGGAAGAAAATAATTCTAAATAAGAATGAAAATAATTATTGTTTGAAAGGTACTCTAAGAGTTAAGTGTCCTAATTTATATCTAAGATATGATTCATCCATATTCCTTTATCTTAAAAAGACAAAATGAAGAAATACTACTAATAATAATGGGACTAGCAGTGTGTGTGTGTGTGTGTGAGAGAGAGAGATAGAGAGAGACAGACAGACAGACAGACAGACAGACTGAAAAACCAAGCACTGGGCATAGATTTCTCCCTCACTGTTTTTGCCTGTAATCATCCTTGTATTTGATAATAATTGGCCAATACTTGGAAATCTGAAAAGTGTTCCAAAACTCCTATAGGATCAACATTTATTGGAATATCTAATATGATAACTCAAATAGTATAGGACTTATTTTGTTATATTCATATTAAATTAATATTAAATATCACATTTGGAAATTATTTCACCTCAGCAACAATTGTTAACCAGATGGTTCATGTGAATGTATTTAGTGTTATTGAACTGTTCACTTAAAAATGGTAAGTTTTATGTTATGTGTATCTTTACCACAATTTAAAAAATAGATGCTAGGTCAAAACTTGAAAAAATCATCTTTATGGATCATTTCCTTACAATTTTTGTTGAGTATTGAGCCATAAGCAAAAAAAAAAGCAAATACAGTAATAATTTTTTGAATTATTGCAGGCCACTAGGATGCAGTTTAATATTTTAGAATAGATATCATCCTATTGCATTCTGCTGATTAAAAAAAAGAGCCAGTGCATTCTCAAAATGCATAGCTTCCTATCTGAAGATAGCTTACTGATTAAAATATCAACTCAATATTCTGCTTAAAATTAGTTTTTATATTAGTTTCATAATCTGACATTTTCACAGTAAATATTCTTCAATAGTCACAACATATGTCTTCAACCTTCATAATAATATTATTGTAAATACTAAAAACACTCACTCTGTTTTAGGTACTGTGCTAAGCATTTTCCCACATTATCTCGTTTACTCTTCTTGGCAGTTACGAAGTAGAAGCTGACGCTCTTCCCAAATTACAAATGAGGAAACTAAGCAAAGACAATTATCTGAGGCTACACAATATGTAATAGAGTTGATGGTAGCTTTAATTGCCCCTGCAGTGGATAAATGAGGACTTTTGTGCAACCCCATTCACCCTAGGTTCAATGCTTTATTCTCTTTTTTTTAAAAGGAAGTCAACAAAAGTTGAACATCCTGATGCATTTTACGTTTTTTCTACCAGTCAACCATGATTTCTTTTTTTTTTTTTTTTTTTGGATTCTGACAGGGCATTCTATTTGGACAAGTCAAATTCACCACCAAACTCCACATCCAAAGCTGCCTATGTAGATAAGGTAAGAATAGATAATTATATTTATCACTGCCTTGTTATTCCTAGACCTTCCTTACTCAGCTTTTCTGCTCTTCTTGAGCAGCGGGTAATTGCAACATTTGTAGACTCCAGCTCCGTTACCTCCATAACAAAATAATTTTGGTTTAGAATATATTTTCAAAGCTGTAACAACTGTGAGTTGCATCCCATCTAAAAAAGGGTTTCTATGAAACATGTTGAATTTTATGTTCTTCACTTTTTTTCTGCAGCTAATGAGGCCTCTCAATGCTTTGGATGAACTTTATCGACTGGTAGGCTCATTTATCAGATCAAAACGCACAGCTGCTTGTGCAAACACAGCCTGCAGCGCCTCTGGAGTTGGACTGCTGTCAGTTTCCTCTGAGCTGTGCGACAGGCTGGGAGCTTGCCACATCATCATGTGCAGCAGCGGAGTGCATCGGTACGTGAGCTTCCCTGCCTTGCTTGCATTTGTTAGTCCACGTGTTAGTTGGTGGTTCTTGTCTGCATATGGGCTGCATGAAATCAAAACTGGAAACATCAAAAGGATGTGGATGCATTTGGAATAAAATTTTTGATGTTTTCTGGTTTTAGTACTTATATTTTTAGTGAATACTAATTTAGTCAGACAAATGAATGCATGCCTACATTTATACCATGGTGACCCAGAATCTTATCCTTCTTGCATTTATATGAACCATATTTGTATTTTAGGTGCAAAAATGTGCTTCCTTATTCACTGTAGGGATTTGCTTAGAAAGAGCTGAATTTGGTGAGCTCAGTGATACTCTTTTCTCACTAGCTTGATAGACATTCCACTATTCAGTGCTTCCCATTCCTAGAGCATAGGTCCTATGGGCTCCCTGCTGCCCTGGGAATGCTGCTGCCTTCCTCCATTGGACAAAATCATTGATGGTCCAGGAGCTCACAAAATATGCTTGAGAAGACAAGGTAAAATCTTTGACAGGTTTGATTCAGGTGGTTTGTCTTAGACAACTGTGCTCTGTCTGGGCAGCCAAGAAAGGTGTGTGAATTTAATGTTGTTTCAGCAGACTTAGGCCTGAAATGAGAGTGGGTACCCCCAAGTCAAGTCCCTCTTCATAATCATCTCTCATATTCATGATGAAGTAAACCCTTATAGATGGAAAACAGGGCCAGAATTTTAGTCCTCATCTTAATCTGAGTAGGGAGCAAGTTTTCTCTCACAAGACTTAGTTCTTAGTAGTGGGCCATTTAGATTTTGAAGATGGTGTTTACTTATTTATTCAAATTTACTTGGTGCTTCATTGATGCCAAAGTTTGCAGATGGTGCTTCAGAGCCTGCTGTGTAACATCATAAAGTGGGGCATTCATCTTGGAGACATAAGGCATGAAGAACAAACAGAAAAAAGCTAACAAAAACATAATAATAATGGTATAAGATTAAAAACAATATACACACCAAAAAAAAAAAAAACTATAAAAGATTCAAGTGGCCTAGAAAAGTTACAGCTGAAGAATGAATTCACAGGGACAATATGTCTTTGAGATGGTTAGATCTGGAAATTTTCCAAGGGGACGGTAATGTTTGAATGGGGGTTTGATGGATTGGGTTGTAGAAGTGGAGAGGGGAGAGGGGCCATTCATTAGTTTTGAAGCCCCACACAGCACTGTCTTGCTTAAGAAATGTAGCATGACTATTCCTCTGAAAGGGCCATTACATCCTTGTAATTGAAAAAATAGCCTGAAATGTTTCCCTTTTTTTGGGGGGGGGTGGTGGTTACTGAGGATTGAACTCAGGGGCACTTGACCACTGAACCACAGTCTAAGCCCTATTTTGTATTTGATATGAAGACAGGGTCTCACTGAGTTGCTTAGCTCCTTGCTATTGCTGAGGCTGGCTTTGAACCCAAGATCTTCCTGTCTTAGCCTCCTGAGCCACTAGGGTTACAGGCATGCAGCACTGCACCCAGCTTCCCTTCATTTTAATATCCGTGTACCTTGTGCACTATTGCAATCTTACTTAGAGCTTAATTGAAAATGTTATCTGCAACTGAGTGGATCAAATATTATTTTATAACCTTTTAGGAACAGAGAATTGATCTTGCCTCTGATAAACTCATGTTCATTCAGTCTGTTTCCATTCTTTCATTCATTCATTATTCATTCATATCATCAATGGCCATTGAGCATGAATTAGGTGCCAATGCTGATCTCGAGGTGCCAATGCTGATCTAATGGCTGGGGTTACTACATGGAAAAAGTGAAGTCCTGACTTTCATATAGTGTGCATAGCATTGGGAGAAAATAGATGATAAATATGTGATATGGCAGGTGGATAAATACCCCAAAACATGGAATCAGAGTAGTCAAACGGTGACAAGATGGGAAGAGAGGTATAACTTCTGATAGGAGTGGGAGGGTTTCATTAAGTAAATGAAGAAGTGAGTCGTGCTCACATCTCAGAGAAGGAGTTTTCCAGCCAAAGGGAGCAGCAATGCAAACAGCCTACTGTATTCAGAAAACAGCAAGGAGTTCATAGTGGAATCACCTGGACTGTGTTCTTATCTCACCCTACTTTAAGGTCAGAGTTATCCTTAAATGCACCTGATCAAATAGGAAGACACTTTCAAGTTTAATGTCTGAAAATATACTCTTACCTCTGCATTAATTTATGAAAACTTAACATAATTAAACCTGCCATTTAATGCTGGAGAACATGACCATGTTATGCAGATTACTCTCACAGATGTTCCGTGACAATTTTAGAATTTGACAGGTGTGGTATAAGAAACATGTTAATGTTACACAACTATTTTATATTGCTATATTCATTGATTGGCATGTTAAAATGTTAAGAAACATTGATTTTTAAAATAATTTGACTTTACTCCTATTATTCAAAATAAATAGACCTTTTGTTAGTTAATTTCAGAAGATATTTACTAAGATGTAGGCCCTAATGCACCATAAAAGGTGCTGAACTTAAATCTATTTGAAAATTCTTTAATTTTCCTATTATGTAGAGTAAAATGGAACTTGAACATAATCTTTCATTTTTCAGTGAAGGCTTTGCTTAGATTTTTTTCAGAAGATAAAATTTGTGCTAATTTATATTGCAATTCAAAATCCCACAGAAGACTGTTCCTAAAATAATCCTTTTGTAGTGCTAATGCAGACAGCTAGGGAAGAACCCTGCTTGTAACATGAACCTCAGAGGTTAACCTCAGGTTCCAACAGAGGGGAGAGATTCACAGGGTTAATTAGTACAAACACTCCCAAAGTTGTCTTTATAATCTACTTTTAAAATTAAGATGAGAAATAATCAAAAGTATGATATTCACATTAGGTTGTCAACTTTCCGCCTTTTCTGGTTTTACTAGGCAAATGAAGAGGACCAAAAATATTTTTTTAAAGTATTGAGTTATATTGCATATATTTGATATTAAAAGAAAGAATGTGGATTTCAGATTAAAAGGCAGATTGAATTAGCATTAATGTCCAGATGTTTTAATGTCAGCTTGAATCAGATGCCAGAGCTGTATAGAATAGCATATATACAAATAGAATATAAAATTAGTAGGAATAGAATTCATGATGAACTACTAAAATAATCTCTTCACAAGGCTCATGTGTTGAAGGCTTGGTCAATGTGCCAGTGTTCAGAAGTAGGGCTTCTGGGAAGTGATTGGGTCATGAGGGCTCTGAGCTCATCAGTGGATTAGTCCATTGATAGCTGAATGGACTCTCAAGAGGTAGTGGAAAATGTGGGACATGGTTCATGTCCAAGAAAGGCATTTCTCCTTTGCCTCTTTCTCTTCTCTGTCTCTCATTCCTGGCTGCTGTGAGCTGAGCAGCTTTTCTCCACCACACCTTTCTGCTGAAATGTTCTGAGTCACCTCAGACCCCAAACAATGGAGCCAGCTGACCATGAACGAAACTCTGAGCCAAAATAATTTTTTTTTCTCCTCTGTTTTCCTTGGGTATTTGTCACAGCAATGAAAAGCTAACACAATTCCCTGAAATAATTCTTTACATACAGTACAAGTCAGCTGATCCAACTCTCCTGTCCGTGCTCTCTTTAGCTGTTCATTTCCATTTAGGATCTCCATTGCTGTGGAATAGGGAAGAAGGATATGAGTGATCTCTTTTCAATACCAGGGTTTTGCCTTTGAAGCAATATAAACATGATTAAAAGGTGATTCAGCAAATAGAAAAATTTTCAGAATTTTCTATTTTGATCTACCTTTTTTCATTTTGCAGCCAACTCACAGCTTCTCTATCAAATAATAACACATTTGAACATTGTTTTAGTAGTATGTATAGTGTCTTAAACAGTTTGTGCTTCTATTATAAAACACCACAGACTGGGTGATTTTAAAGAAAAGAAATTTATTTCTTAAATTTCTGGAGGCTTGCAGTCCAGGATCATGGCCCTAGCAGGTTCAATATCTGTTGAGGGCACCTGTCTCTGCTTCCAAGATGGCGCCTTGAACATTATATCTTCACATGGTAAGAGGTACAGAAGGGAAAAGAGGAGGGAGGCAACCTGCCTTTCTTTTCTTTCTTTCTTTTTATTTATTTTTTTTGTTTTATTTTGTTGTTGCAGGTTTTTGTTCTCTTGTATTTGGGATTAATTCAACCCAAGGGTGCTTTACCACTGAGCTACTTCCCCAGCCCTTTTTTATTTTTGATTTTGAGACAAGGTCTTGCTAAGTTGCTTAGCGAGTAATTAATTTGAGGCTAGCCTTGAACTTGTGATTCTTCTCCCTTAGCCTCCTGAGTTACTGGGATTACAAGCATGCACCATTGTGTCTGGCTACCTTGCACTTACTCAATAAGAGTGCTAGTCATCTTGAGACCTCCACCCTCATGACTTAATCACCTCCTAAAGGTCCTACCTCTTAATATTATTACATTGATGATTGTTTCAATATGTGAATTTTAGAGGACACATTCAAACTGTAACAATAATTTGTTTTATGCATAGAAATTATATATGTCCCAAATGTGCATAATGTAGACTCTGAATGTGTCCCCCTAACTTAATCCTTAATACAATGGCATGTGAAGTGGGGCTGAGTAAGAGGTAATTAATCATTACCTCTCTGATAATTCATGTCATTATCATGGGAGTGGATTGGTAATCACACTATGTGTTGTTAAAATAGTGAATTAGGGCCCTTCTTGCTCTCTGCTTTCATGCTTTCTTGCCCATCTGCCACTCATCCTAGGATGATGCAGCAAGAAGGCCCTCTCCTTAGACTTAGATGCAGGCCTCTCAACCTTAGACTTCTCAGCATCAACTCTAAGAATGAAATCTGTTCTTTATGAATTACCCAGTCTTAGGTATTCTGTTACAGCAGCACAAAAGGAATTAAGCCTGACTTCCTTGTTATCTATTTGGTGACATGACATTTCATCTAGTGAAAATACTAAAATTTACTAAACACTAAATTCTGT